AGTAAGGGGTTAGGTAAAAAGATGAAGTATTTCTGAGGAAAGTACAAGTATTGTATGTAATAGAGAATAACAGATACTCGATACTGAAGTGAAAAAGAAAAAGAGTGGATGCTTGTCATAGAACACATAAGTTTAGTCCACCCTTTAAATAATTCTTGATTTATTGCTATGATGGTGCCACAAATATGTTTAGTGGTATATGTATGATAATTATATATTTATTTTGATTACCATTATTTTTTTAAGCAGATCGTATAATACCAATCTATATGGGCAGGAAAATAAAATTAGTAAACCTACAAAAACAGGTTTTAAAATATAGCTTACCTGCTCTTATTTCCAATAAACCTCTTCAATGTAACACTGATTTCTGCAGGACAATCAGTGTTCTTGCTGCTTCTTCTCTGATCTGCTGTTGATGATCTAGGCAGTGTGTTGTGCTGGCACCTGTAGTAGATGGAAAACAGGTTGATCCTCCCGTTGTTGGGTTTTGTTGTTTTTACACGCAGTGTCACCTTACTTTTCTTCTGGTACTCTGCAATCCATTCTATGGCCATTTCTTTTGTTGTGATGGCCACACGGAGGTCTGCAACGTATCCTCCAGCAACCTCCTGGTATGAACAGAGATGATATTCATACCTAGTAGGGAGAGTATCCTGTAATATGAAAAAATTGACATTAACGCCATTATAGTAATATTTCTAATGTGCACTTTCATGCAGAACTCAACATTTAACAATACCCCCCTCCCCCCACAAAAATACAAAGGAAGAAAACCCTAGGACACACTAGCCTATTTTTTCCCCCGACTAAATCAGCAGTGACAATCGGCTGGTGTGTTCAGTCTCCTTATCCCGATTTTTCACTCAAGCGAGTGAATTGGGCCGTTGTTTCAGTCGGCGAGCAAGTGTGTCCACTTCACCGAGCACGATTGCCACCTGAAAAATTTAGTAGCCAATCACCGTTGTCAACAACTATGACGCGGGAGTAAATCGGGTGGTCGATCATGCTGCTGACTCGCCTAGTGTGTCCACTCAATTGGTCAAATAGAATCGGCGCCGACAGTCGACCGACTAAATTGGCTAGTGTGTCCCTAGCTAAACAAACAAACAAAGCTACACATAACTCAACCTAGAGATAATACATTGTAATATGAAAGCTTGAGCTTTCATTCTTTTTGGTCAGTATTGTCACAATGATCACCTAATTATTGGGAAGGCATAGTCTTATTATTGTAACGGTTCTTAATCTTAGCCAATAAAAAAAAAGAATAAATAGATAAATAAACATATAAATAAACAAATAAATAAATAATCCTCCTAAATTTTTCGAACTCCTAACATTGTTTAGAAATTACATTTCATGGATGAAAACAATGATAATGGATGAAATAGATTTAGTTTCACAATCTCACTCATAAAAATCTAGTATCAGTTGCAACCTGAAAATCAGCCATAGAACCTATAAGACTTGACAGTAGATCTTGGTTTCAAGGGGGATCCTTTCTTTCCTTCAATTTAACTTGCCCTTGTCCCCCCTCAAAAAACGTGAAATAAAAATAAAATGACCTACACGTGACAATACCCTAGTCATACTCACAGATCTATTATTATGCTAATTTTCAGTAACTCTGAGCCTCAGGGTCTGGTGCAATGTCAGATTTCATTTGAATTATTACTGTGCATCTCTCTGCCACCCCCTCTCTCTCTCTGCTTAATTACATATTTTCTATTTTTATCTAACTTAGAGTGTACCAATAATCTTTAAGTAAAATAAAAAGTAGTAGGGCCTAATCCCAATCTGTAAAATAAAAGTAATGAACTAACAATAAGTGTAGAATACACACATAGGGCCTACTTACATAAAGATTTGGAAAATCTAACGGAAGATCGTTTCCTGGTTCGCCCAGTCTCTGACATGTTTCTCGTGTCGCCATGGTGCAAATAACGAGAAAATATATCTATCTATATATCTAGAATATATATGCATATATCATATACATATAATAACGTGTATATGGGAGAACGTATATGCAGCCCACATCATGTGCTCTGCACTAGACTGCTCCGCAAGCAAAAATGGCGATAGTGGGCGTGTCCTAAAATTTTTCTAGCCAATCACGTTGCTCAATTTTTCTTCCATAGCTATACGGTTTCGGAATCGCAGATTCGCATGCGGCCGTGCCTGTGTAGTCTGCGGCACAACGACTGGGTTGTCTTCAAAGTGGACTTGCTTGCCTGCTTTGGGCACACTACGTAATTGTTGTTCACGCGTGTCATGAGTGTTGTTCACACGTTTCATGAGTGTTGTTCACACGTTCCATGAGTGTTGTTCACACGTTCCATGAGTGTTGTTCACACGTTCCATGAGTGTTGCTCACACGTTCCGTGAGTGTTGTTCACACGTTCCATGAGTGTTGTTCACACGTTCCATGAGTGTTGTTCACACGTTCCATGAGTGTTGTTCACACGTTCCATGAGTGCTGTTCACACGTTCAATGCGTGCTGTTCACACGCTCCATGAGTGTTGTTCACACGTTCCATGAGTGTTGTTCACACGTTCCATGAGTGCTGTTCACACGTTCCATGAGTGTTGCTCACACGTTCCATGAGTGTTGTTCACACGTTCCATGAGTGCTGTTCACACGTTCCATGAGTGTTGCTCACACGTTCCATGAGTGTTGTTCTGTCTCCCTCGTGAGACAACGAGGTCGGGTTACAACCCCTGTAGGTCATGTAATGACCGAATGGCTGGGACGCCAGGTTTCTGGCTGACCACAGGTTTCTGCGGCCTTGCTGTGATAGCGCAATGCACTGATACTAGTTTTAGCGCTAACGATGCCAATAACCCCAATATCGCCGGTCCATCGCATTCAACGATGTAAAACTCTGCCACAACATCCTTGTTGTTGTAACTACACGGCAATCGGATCGAACCATAGTGCCTGATGGTTGTGTCGTTGTATCCAGTCAAAGTCATGGCTCTGTTCTGCACTCTGTCTGCTCTGGTGTACCCATCGGCTGTAAGCATTTGTGGACACATACGTCTGAAAATGCGTATCGGCAGGGTATTGCCCTGCACGTCAGTATCGACCTTGACCTTTAGGGAAGCATCGCAATCTTCTCGCGACCTGGCACTATGATGTCGAGGTTGGAGAAAATTTCATCTCTATTTTCTCTAATGTGGCTCGGCTGTGTGACAGCACCTACACCAATACTCGAAAACTACGAGCGATCGAATGCCGTTCTCAGATTCATATTCTGATTGTGACTGCTGGTTTAATGAATGAACGTTAGAGTTCACCCTACTCGGGCTTTTACTGCAGCCACGGTCACGGTGTAGTGACCTTCGATCTCGTGACTTGGAGCGACCGGTACCGCTGTTACGGTTTTTGCTGCGATTTTTTTTTCATGCAACACTGTGCCCAGTGGTTTTGGTTTCCACAAACACCGCACACTGTCCCATACGCGGGCATTTCTTTTGGGGGTGCTTTTTAACGCAATTTCTGCAGTTCTGGGTATCGTCCCGGTCGTTGCCTCGATGTGCCCGATCACGTCCCCTGAACGCGTGTACGGACGCTGTACCGGAGGCCATGTTATCTCTGTGTACCGCCGAGAGCTTCTCCATATGGTCTCGGGGTTCTCAGCGCCCTCGGTGAGGCCCCACGAACTGTATCGCCTTATCCCTTCTTGGCCAGCTGATAACAGGATATGGCTAACTTGCTTTTCTGGTTTTACCCTTTTTACATCTGGAATTCATCGGCCAAGTTAGAAGGATGCCAGTCCATGCTGGGTGCGTTTGTTTTCATGTGGTCAAAATGTGCCATGATTGGCTAGTGGTGTGCAGTTCCTACGCGCAAATACATAGCAGGGGTTGCACAGCACACAGCACGTTGTCTACACGCAAATACATAGCAGGGGTTACACTTTCTCTATGCTACTACACAGTAAATACTCTTGCATGCACGCGCAGTCACTAACCTCCCACACGGATAACAATATGCTACTTCATGTAACCAGTGGTATTATCATACAGAATACTGAATACAGAAGTTTACATCATTACAAATATAATGATCGGAGACATGGATCTCATACAAAATAACTATGACACAGACAGCAGCGATGACTTTTACGTGTTGTGTCTTACTAAATGATGCATCAACACAGTTATGTAAGTAGCGTAGATTTATTCAACTCATCTCAACTACAACATGGAAGCTTCTCCTCCCTACATCCCGGATGTATGCGTAGTGCCATCTACTGGCATAATAACTCATAAAGTATCAGCTAACACTTAACAGTAATTACGGAACATCTCCCCCTCACAATGAATGATCTTAACATTAAAAGTGCCAAACTAATAAACCGACATGTCTTGTCAAACCTCACACATTTCTCAATCCGAAACACTAACTTGTCAATAATGAATTACAAACACACCACACTAATAAACTGGTCTCTTGTCAACCTTTACACTTGTAACGTTGGAATGATCGTTCATGTAGAATTGATGTAGAAACAGATCCAAATCCAGAACTTGTGTGGTAAACTGTATAACTTTTAATATCTTACACACCTCACATCTTCTTACACAGACAAAGACCCGCGCACACGCGTGGTCGCGCGTGCACGGCCTCTCGCGACCAGCCCAGAATCCAATCCCCTCCTCTCCTCTTACATCTCTCTCTCTATATATCCCCCAAAACTCCCTACATCCTGAGCGCACATGTACCCGTTCTCAGAGACTACGTCCTACCCCAATTTCACACTGACTCTCGAAACGGCCTAACCTAACCCTGCTTATCCAACCCCCTGTAACATCAATGTAGCCGCGCGACGCTGCCTCGCGCAGACTATCTGGTCACCAAACAACACGTGCAAAAGACGTTACATTATCTCCCTTTGCCCCAAAACGATGACTAGGTAGTCATCGCTTCAGCGTCCTCGCTGCTCTATACTTTAACCTGAACCTAACCAATTAAAAAAAATACNGAGACACATGATAAATGATACAACTTACACTGAGCTGCCTTAAATAGCACCAGACGAACCATACTGCACAGGGGACAGCAATGAAGAAATTAGATTTTCACGGTTCCACCACATTGCGTCAATCCGTGTCCTTGTTGATCTCAGCTAATCCCCTTGACGATCTTCCACCGATTCTAACAGACATAGCTTATGTATCGGCCTAGACAATGCTGCAGTCCTAGTTTTGACAGTAGCAGATCTGACAAGTCCGTCCTTGCCAGGATAGACCTGCATGACACGCGCAAGAGGCCACAAGTTACGAGGAGTTGACGAATCCGCGACAAGAACTATGTCGCCAACCTTGATGTTCTCCTGAGGCTCGGTCCACTTTGATCGACGGCGGAGTGTGGGCAGATATTCGGACACCCACCGTTTCCAGAACAGGTCAGCTAGATATTGGACCTGACGCCATTTCTTGCGGTAAATATCGCGCTCGACGAAAACTCCACACGGCAGAGTGACGCCCGGACGCAGCAGTAACAGATGGTTAGCGGTAAGGGGTTCCAAGTCCCTCACGTCGTCCGATATGGTGGTCATTGGCCTTCCATTTACGATGGACTCGACCAAACACATCAAAGTCATGAGTTCCTCATCACCGACAGTCTGCTCATGTACGGTAGAGTTCAGCACCTTGCGAACCGTACGAATTTGCCGTTCCCATACGCCGCCCATATGCGACGCAGCAGCGGGATTAAATTGCCACTCGATTCCCTTTTGAACCAGGTACCGATCGATTTTGTCCTGATTCCACTTATCAATGGCTTCACGTAACTCCTTCTCGCCAGCAGTAAAATTAGTCCCGTTGTCCGATCTTATCCTTTTCGGCTTGCCTCGGCGACTAATAAATCTTTGAAGGGCGTTGATGAAAGAGTCAGTATCGAGGCTAAAACTAACCTCAATATGGATGGCTCTTATGATCAGACATGTAAAGAGACACCCGTACCTCTTTACCTCCGATCGCCCACGCTTGACCATAAATGGCCCGAAGTAATCCACACCGACGTATGTGAACGCCGGTTCGTATGGTGTAACACGATCCATGGGTAAGTCGGCCATCCTTTGCAGAGCAGGTGATGCCTTCCTACGTCGACAATGGCGGCACTCTGCAAGAATTCTGGTTACAGTTATGCGTGCTTTGGTTAACCAGAATTGTTGTCTCAGCAGAGCTAGTGTATATTCTCTCCCAGAGTGCCCAGAGAGTTCGTGAGAATGCTGGATCAGTAGCTTGGCTATGACAGAGTCACATGGTATTATGTGTTGATGCTTCTGCACCTCCGGTATCGGCGCATCACCCAGCCGGCCACCAGTACGCAGAGTTCCATCAGCATTTAGGTGAGGCTCGAGTTGATACAGCCTGCTTGATTTCTGAAGCTCCTTGCCGTTTCGCAGCATATTGATCTCGTGGCGATATGCTATCGACTGTGTGTACCTGACTAAACTCAGCTCAGCGTCCTTTATTTCTGCGACTGACAAGTTCCCACGTTCATTGTCGATGGCGTCGTCACCCTTTCCTTTGCGCAGTAACCGTTTCCTCAATCGAAGAAACCATGCCACCGCTCGACGTAACTGTTCCCATGACGAGTACTGTGACATGAGACGATCCAACCCGTGCTCGACAGTGCCAACGGTCACAGCAAACGTTTGAGCTTTCTTGAGTTCCGAGTCGCTCTCATTTAAGTCCACGGCCAGATCCACAGTGGTTTCCCATGTCATTTCATTCTGCCAGAGAAAGTCTGGTCCGCGAGTCCATCTCCGCGATGCGATGATTTCAGCTGCAGTCAAACCACGCGACGCGTCGTCAGCCGGGTTTTGCTCAGTGTCAACGTGCCTCCACTGTGAGGGGTCTGTGCTCTCGCGTATCAGAGCCACACGATTCGCCACAAATGTTTTGAAACGTCTACTTTCATTGCATATGTACTGCAGTACCAACATACTATCGGTCCAAAACGTTGTCGAATCGATTTTGATCTCGAGTTCCCGCTGTAAGATTTTGCTCAATTTTACAGCCTCCACAGCTGCCAGTAGCTCGAGTCTAGGTATCGTCATCATTGATTTGGGTGACAGTCTGGCCTTTGCCATAAGAATACAGCAATGTACCTTTCCCTCGTGGGTCACCTGGCGTACGTACGAGACAGCTCCGTAACCACTCTCTGATGCATCACAGAAGTGGTGCAACTGGCAGCTGATGACTTGCCCGAAACCGCGTTACCACACGCGTTCATGCGAACACCAGCACACGCGTTACCGCACATCCACACGCCGCTTACGCATCACACGAGGTTGCCACGCAACACGCGTTGCGAACACGCACACGCGCACGAACACGCGTCGACACGGCACACGCGTTTACGCACACGCACACAGCGTTACGCCACACACGTTGCGCACCGCACACCGCACGAACACGCGTTCGAACACGCACACGCGTTAGTCGCAACACGCACACGCGTTAACGCACACACGTTGTCGCACGCACACGCGTACGCACACGCGTTGGCGAACACGACACGCGCTACGTAACACGCGTTGCGAAACACGCACACGCCGTAGCGCATCACGCTACACCGTACGCACTACCCGTTGCGCACGCACAACGCGCTACGAACACGCGTTGTCGAAACAACGCACACGCGTTACGCACAAGCACACGCGATTTTTTAAACCACACAACGGTGCATTGCGCCACACGCGAACACCGTTACGCACACTCGGTCACCGAATCGCACCACGCACCACTACAACCGTGCGCTTCGCACACGCACAAGTTTACGCACACGCTCACGAAAACGCACGCAACGCACGCAACACACGTTGCAGCACAACCGTCAGCGAACGCACGCACGGCAACGCACACACTTGCGACACACGCACACGCGTTACGCGCACGCTCAACAGAAACGCACGCACCGCACGCACACACGTTGCGCCACAACGCACACGTGTGACGCACACGCCGTCACGACGCACGACGCACGCAACACACGTTGCGCACACCGCACACGCGTTACCAGCTACCGCGTGCACGAAACGCAACGCACGCAACAACACACGTTCGCACACGCACCCACTGTACGCACACGCGTCCACGAACGCACGCACGACGCACAACACGTGCGCACGACGCACACGCGTAGCGCACACGCGTCACGAAGCGCACCGCACGCAACAGCACAACGTTGCGCACACGCAGAACTCGTGTGACCACACCCGTCACGAACGCACTGCACGCACGCAACACACGTTGCGCACTACGCACACGCGTTAACGCACACGCGTCAAACAAACCGCACCACTCACGCACACACGTCTGGCGCACCAGACGCAAACACGTGTCTACGCACACGCTCACGAAACGCTAACGCAACGGCACACACCGTTGGCGCACACGCACACGCGTTACGCAACACGCTCCACGAACCGCACGCACGCACGCCACACACGTTGCGCACACGCACACCGTGTTACCACACGCGTCACGAACGCCACCACGCAACGCACAACACTTTGCGCAACGCACACCGTTACGCACATCGCGTCAGCGAACGCAACGCACGCACGCAACCACTACGTTTGCGCACACCACACCGTACGCACAACGCGTCACGAACGCAACCGCACGCGCGTTGCTGCGTATTCACGCGCTGACACGCACACAGGCGGCTTGACACGCGCCACACCAGGCTATACAGGCGCTCCATCTAAACCGCACAGAAAGGCGGCTCACGCGCAAAACAACGCACGCGTATAGCAAGCGCTCAACCCGCATGCTCACAGGCGCTGGCAACCACACGCACAGGCGTAACGTAAGCCGCTCCACACGCCTCCACCAGGCGCTGAACACGCAACACACAGTCGTATACAGGCGTAATGCAGGCGAACACGCACGCACAGCGTAAAATGCAGTATACACGCACACACAGGCGTATCAGGCACACACGGGTCGCATACACGTGCACGCACGCACACAAGGCAATCATCAGCTATACACGCACGCAGCACACGAGCGTATACACGCACAGAAACCTCAAGGCGTAGATAGGCACGCACGGGCGTTGTCAGGTGTATACTACACACAACGACACACACGCACGCTTCGTCAACGCAACGACTCCAGGCGTTCACACGACCAGTAGGCGTATCGCGGCTCACACATACACACAGCTACACAGGCAGCGTATTCACACCCACTACACCCGTTGCGAAAAAAACACCGCCCCGTTGCAGGTGTATACAACCAAGACGCGTGTACAGCGCACGCAACACACACGCGACGCTGGTGTATACACTCACACACAACCCTAAGCCGCACACACACTAGAAGGTCAATGAATAGTAGAGACGGATTAATAGCAATGCCAGCTGTGGTCGCGCAGTACATGCATTACACGTACGCAGAGATACTTGATATGAAGCAATGAATGAGAACCAAGTGATATAGAGACGATTAGTGAAAGCTTATGTAGCTATGAAAATACGTAGTAAACTAACTGAATTAAATAGAGCTGAGCTTATATATTAACTAGTTCCGGCATAATGGCTAGTCATTACAACCCGCACACGTACGGCGTGGCTACTGAGTCGTTCGGCTAGCGCGGTTGAATGATAAGGAGGGATGTAACGCGATGGCTATTGCGATAACGGCATCGTGATTGTAAAGCGGCAAGTAGCAACTGCGGAATTTGTCGACAATAACTCAGAATCGCACCACTGCACGGTACAAAATATGTAGCAACTGTTTGTCAACTACGAACAGTTGTAGATAAATGAGTCGTTATTCATTGCCAAAAGACAATAGAGAAGACAAGCTCTAAAGAATCATAACCATGACGAAGCTCTCATTTAATTTTCCGGTTTTCACCGATTGGACATACCAAATTGCTCTGGCGTCGCGCTGAGGTAGGGAGGCGATTCGCCCGAGCTGCTCGCGCAGTGCATATTTATAAGCGCCCCCCTCGCACTGTGGTACATGCAACTCACGTGCCATTCCCACAACCACCGTGCCCCCGCGCATTCCGCGTTCGGCATTGGGCTTCTACCCCGCTCGCATCATGGACGGTGCGGCCCCCAAACGGGAAGCTAACGGGAGCAACCCGCTATTCTCCACGCACCGTCCGGAGGTGCTCAGGCCTATCCACGCAAACGCTCACCCGCCAGTCAACATGGCCGCCGCCCCATGTGGCTAACAGCTTTATTCACGCTGCATATAGCAACATGTAAACCGCCCGTTATGAGCGCTCTTAACGTCATCCGAGCATCCATTGACATCATGCACCGTGCCTGTATCACAACACTAACTCGTACCGCAATGATTGTCAACGTTACACCGCCGCCTGATTGGGATTAGATTTACCAATACCCCGAACCAAGCCGGCCGCGGTGCGTGACAGGGCACAGTAGCGCCCCGCAAGCGTGTGAACAGCGCGGCGGCCGCCGCTCGCGCCGCTGCAGCCACATTGATACGCCCGTGGTATGCTAAGTTGTTGCTAGGTGCCGCCGTAACATCCTCGCAGCCTCCCCGTCAACCGAGCGCGGCGACCCGCGTCCGCGCGTGAGGGGGGGACAACCCTTAACACGGTGTACAATCTGCACATCAGACGAAGTTCACTCTGGAGTTTGACCGGTCAATGGCAAGGGACACTTTGTGTGTCGTTACCGCATCCTCGACTCGTATCACCGACGTC